ATGCTGGGCTTGGAAGTATCTGCATTTTCATTCTGGTTTTCCTAAGAACTGGTCAGTGTGACCTGACTGCCTTTAGAGACCTGACTGCTCAGAGACTTAGGCCTTGCATTGGTGTGTTCCTGCGTGTGAGATACAGTAACACAGGTAGTTACAGACTAGAGGTTGGGTTCTAGCAGTGACTAAATTTTCAGAGCAACACTTTGTCATATTCACTGATATGCTAACAGAGTCCTCTTCCCTGGGGAAGGAGACAAGTATTAAAAAGAAGAGAGTAGAAAACGGAAAGCCTGGCCCAGCTTCCTGCACTGTGTGCAGAGCCTGGGTTCTGAGCCCTGAACCAGAATTGGTGTTTAGAGGCAGCCAGTGAGCTGCCATGGGGTTATATATGCAGGCAAAATCCTGGAGGTACAGGCTTGCTCTGGAGCCATGGACTCTGTAAATGTGAAGCTAAAGTAGAAGAAGGTGTTCCTTCTATGCCTCCCCCCAAGAAGGCTCTGACCTTCCTCCCTCCTCTCTTGGCTCATCATCCCTGGGCTAATTAAAGACAATACTTCTGTGGGGAAAGAGTTTTGTCACTGAGCTTTCAGAATTAACCTGTGGCATGACCTGGACCTCAGTGTGACCTTCCTCCACTGACTGATAGAGGATTCCCTGGACTCTCCAGGTCTTTCCTGCCTTTCTGTTCTTTCCTTTCATGACAAGCTTTCGGTCAGCAGCCATGGCTGGCCTGTAATTCCCAGTGTAGGCCAGGCTGGACTCAAACCCCTAACAATCCCACCTCTGCCTCTCCACTCACTGCCAGGGTTATAGGTGTGAACTACCACTCTGGGCCTCAGAGCATTTCATCACAGGTGTGGTCACACAAACAGGCCAGGCACTCCCTCGCTGAGGTATAAGGCCTGTCCCCCTCCATCCAAAGGCAAGGCGGTGGCCGCTCAGAGCCTCCCTTCTTGGTGCAGGGCCCCATGCCAGGTTCCACCAGTGCACAGGCAGGCTGCCATGAAAGGGCACACTCCCTCGACAAGGAAGCATTTTTCTGTGTTTTGTCTGGAATTGCTTAACCAGTCTGGTTGTAGGCACCGTGTCCATTTGGGCCTCCTTCCTTCATGCGGGCACTTCCAGTCCCTCGTGCAGTACCATTCAGGTACACGTGTATGTACACATGAGACCTCTGTGACATGCTGGCTCCATGCCCAGCAGGAAATACTTATGTTGCCACCTCTGGAGCTGGCACTCTGCCGACTGCCTCAGAGTAAGCTGCAACGTGTTTCTTTCATTCGTTTGAAAGGGGAAATTAAACTGAGGAGTGAGGTCTGACCCAAGTGCTTGCATGCAAATAGTTGACCTTTGTTTTGAATATACTTAATGAGACTGAAGCCAGATTGCGTGGCCTCCAGCTGCCTGTGTTGCCACCTCCTCCCTGGCATTTGAAGGAGACTGACAAAGGACTGTGGATGGTAGGAGATGCCCATTGTCCATCTTGTTTTTCTCTTACACACTGGAACTATGGGGGTCTAGCACATGGTCCCTAAGGTAAGCAGCTATATCCAAAGAGATCCCTTTGACCCGATCCCAAATTCTCAACTGCATCTTGGGATGCATCTTGATACAGGGGTCTTGACTTCGCCGGGCCTCCATGCCATCTGAGAGGAAATTACTTTTCTGTGATGTATGAGGCTGTGTGTTATATGGAAATGCAAGAGTTGATTGAGTGTAGTAGTCAGGCTAGATGATGTTCTGCTGATGTAACAAGTAGACCCTGCACTCTCAGTATCTGAACATGAAACAGATTTATGCCCCAATCAGGTTGAAGCCTAGTGCAGGTGAGGCAGCCTCTGCCAGGGAACAGCTGCAATATCTTGAAGGTGTGACTCCTAAGCTTGCCAGGTGGCAAAGGGAACTACAGAGTCATAGACAATATTTGGGGGTGGGAGCTAAGGAGATACCGCAGTTGGAAAGCTCTCACCTTGCACCAGAAGACCTACACTCAGCTCTTTTGGAGTCCAAAAGAAAATGTGTTTTACAGGACAGGGTCTGGAAAGCATCCTCCTTGCCCATCCACACTTTTTGTCTGCTGGGTCCAGGTGAATTGTCTTAACACAACTGTCAAGGTATCTGGGAGAGATCTTTCTGGGTGCTTAGATTGAACACAGAAGACATGGTGTGGTAGATGCATAGTATAGTCTCTGCCTACTTAGGACCCAGGCTAAGAAAGCACTACATTGAAACTGGCCAATGGCAGAGCTCTGCCTAGGTGGGCAGAAATGTGGAGACAGGGGCCCAAGCTGTGAGGTCCAGTATACACTCAAAATGCAGATTCATCCCCCAGCACTGCTCTTGGAGGTTCAAGTTCTACTTGCTAGAAAGGTAGGCAATTGTTTTAACTTAGTGCCTCCAAATTGCCAGTGAAAAGACTCAAAGATTAATGGCCAAGGTCTCCCACACAGATGTGTCTGTCCTATGTGGAAATGTTCAATTATAAAATAGTAAGTACTACATATGGTTTCATGCCAGACACTGAATGTTGGATAAGTGGGCATTGCCTTTGCATTGGGCATGAGAAAAGATGTTAGAATAATGGGCTGGTCCAAGCTTTCCAGTGTCTTCTGGAAAATCAGGGAGAGTTGAGACCTTATTCTAAAGGATGGGCTCTATATATGGAAAAGTAAAGAATCGTGGCTGGATTTGTGCTTTTAAAACAGTTGGGTGGAAGACAGCAGGCAATAGGATCACAAGTTGGAGGTCAGCTTAGGCTACATAGAATTCTAGGCTAGCCTGAGCTACAGAGAGTCCTAGGCTTGCTGGGGCAACATAGGGAGACCTTATCTCAAAATAATGTAGTGGGTAAGAAGGCAGGATTGGGGGCAGGAAGCCAAATTGGTCTAGTTGGCATGGAAAGATGACATGGAGGGAGTGGCCAGCAGATGGGGGCAGATTTGACAGCCTGTGGGGTAATAGGATCTCAGACCCTGCTATAACAAGGTGTTTGTTTCTGAGGCAGGGCACTCCTGAGAATGGGCATTTGGGCTAAATAATAATGAGCTCATTTGGGGACCTGTGACATTTAGGAACCTGGAGTGCAGCCAGGTGGCATAGAGCAGGCTCAAGCAAAATAGGGAAACCCTCAGGAGCGACACTGCCAGAAAAGAGGCTTTGAGTGGCAGGGATAAAGGGGAGTGGTTGAGTGCGATCATCCAAGGAAAGTCAGATTCAACAGCTGGGGAGCAGGGGGTGAACCCAGAAAGAGAAAGGCAGGTACATCATGTGCAAGAATAATAATGAGGAGGAAATATGGTGTTTCCTTATGTTCCAAAGGAATAATGGCATGACTGTGCATCGGAGCTTAACAGGTCATTTATGACCTTAGCAAGAGCAAGTTCCTCTGGGACGGGGTGGGCACATCAGGCAGGGGCCATGAGGGAGCAGGTTCCAGGGCAAATGGGAATCAAAAAAGTGGAAATGAGTTTAAACCCTCCTTCCATAGACCATCCTTCCATAGGCCTCCATGGGAAAATGTGAGGGATGCCCAAGGTGGGGGATGGCAATTGGTTTCATTTGTATTTCACTGTGGAATACTGTCAATGTTTTAAATGAATTTTCGTGACATTTTTCGATTCCGGATGCACAATGATGAACTGAACAGGGAACCAACATCCATCTTCAATGATACCAATCAGCATTGCCACAGGTTGGGCCAGGTTCAGCCCATGCTGCCTGTGGGCCTTTCAGAATGCCTCCCAGAGTCACCACATAGGCAAGGATACTAGCTGGTTACCTAGATTGGGTACAGGCTCTGGCTCCCATGCACAAAAGTCCTGGGCAATGAAGGTAGATATGCAAAGATCAGAGGAGGCTCATGTTTTATAGACATTTAAAAAATAAGTGGCTTGTCTAGTAGCCAGCAACTTCAGAGCTGGGCTGGCAGGATGGAAGGCAGGAGCCCACAGCCTAGACTGGAAGTGGATGGACAATGGAATAGGACCAAGGTGCACTAAGTAAGTCTATAGGCACAACCAAGACTGTGGGTGTGACGTGCAGGGCAAACCCTCACCCTCTGCCACTTGTCTGTGCCCTGGCATTGCCATGTCTCCTCCCCTTTGTCTCTCCCTGCCTCTGTAGCCCCATCTCTTTCCTGATGGGAGTAACTGGTCCCTGCCTGGGTAGGAGCTAGCACTATCCTGGTGATGCTGAGCAAAATACAGTCCTTGGTGACTCAGAGGGCCCTTCCCATACCACGGTGCGTCTAGTCTCCATGACAACCCTGAAAGGCCTTCTGTTCATACACTCAGGAAGCCGCGTGGGAGATGAAGGAGTGGAAGCCAGAGTACCCAGGTCCCAGAAGTGTAGCACCGAATCCTAGGACTGGGATTTTGAGGGAGGACATGACCCCTGGAAGCTAACATCTTTGAGAGACATGGTGACCCTTTTCACCTCTTAGTTCCCTGCCCTCTGGGGAATCACTTGTTCTCTGTGAGTCTCCTTGTCTATAAATTGGGGGCCAACCGTGTGTTGCTGCCTCACAGGTACCACGAGGAACAAATGAGATTTTAGTCAAGGCAGTGGCCACTCTGGAGTGAGTACACATGAGGGTCATGTGGCATGTGCTTGCAGAGAGTATGGTCAGAGGTCTTCTGTCACTGTGGGAATAGGGAGCAGTGTTGCCCCTGCCACATTTAAGATGTCCGCTTCACGTTGCTCCGGGCAGGGTGATCTGACAGAGCTAAAAATTCCAACTCGATGTTAACCAGGTTAAAATCCTGCTCATTACACTCCACAGTGTGCCCCTGAACAGCACATTCTTCATCACCTGAGGAGTAGGGCCGATAAGTGATCAAGGGTTTACCAACTTGCTGAAATTCTGAGATTGGCTAACATTTGAAAAATTCCATCAGTGAGCCCAGAGCAGGGGCTGAGCATACACCACTGCTGGTAGCCACCTCCCTGGAGTCAGGCAGAGCTGCTCTTAGCTTAAATGACCCTCCTGTGTTTTGTGCTGACAGGTCCGGGCTCTGGTTCCCTGTGAGAAGCTGCCACGGCCCACCGAGATGTCCAGGCACCATAGCCGCTTCGAAAGAGATTACCGCGTAGGCTGGGACCGCCGTGAGTGGACTGTCAATGGAACCCACGGGGCCACCAGTGTCTGTAGTGTCACCTCTGGTGCTGGTGGCGGCACAGCTAGCAGTCTCAGTGCACGACCAGGCCTCCTGCCCCTGCCCGTGGTGCCCTCCCGACTGCCCACACCCGCCACAGCTCCTGCTCCATGCACGACAGGCAGCAATGAAGCCATCACCAGTCTCGTGGCCAGCTCGGCCTCTGCAGTCACCACCAAGGTAAGACCTGGTATCTTCTCTGGGAAGGAGCCAGGTAACAACTCAAGCTCAGGTCAGCACAGAAGCCTTACTTCCTGGTCTGTGTCACCAGAGTTGCAGCCTCCATGGAGTGCATTGTAGTCGTATGCTGATTTAATGCTACTGAATGAGTGATATAAAAGTATCACCAACTTAACAATACTCATTTCCCTAAATAGGAGAACTAAAAACATATAAATCCCTCTGGGGGTCATCAGTGGCTGGGGTTTTGCCAGCTATATTAGACACCGAGGGTCAAGAGCCCATTACTGATTTATCGCCATGGTGGGGATTCTCATGTCTGCAGTTCTTACGAGCCTCACAACAATGCTGTGAGGTCAGTGTGCACACATGCCTGCCTGCCTGATTGCTGGATTGCTGAGGGTCCCCCCAGACATACTAGTTATAGCAGCTACTGTAAGGACCCAGGACTCATACCAACAGTTGACTGCCTGGTATTAGCTCCTGAGTATTCTTTTTTTTTTTTTCCTTTGCAAGAGACGGTTCCAAAAACCTCAGGAATGGTGGCAAAAGCCAATGTGTATAAAACAGAATGTGGAAATAAATGTCGCCAAAGCTGTTGACTGGCTTTGGGCTGAACAGAGGAGCTCTGAATCCCCTTTTTGCATGCTGTGCAGAGCCCTTCAGGCAGACTGAGCCACAGAGGGACGGCTGGTGGCCAAGGCAAGAAACACATTCATCCCATCATCCCCCTCGGCCAAGCAGAGGCTCTGCAGGCCATCTTTGCCTCTGCCAGCCATTCAGAACCACTTCCCAGGAGCCCTCTCGGGGCCTGCATGTGTGTGGGTGTGTATGTGTGTGCTGCATGTGTGTGCTCGCGCTTTTCTCTTCCTGCTTTCATAAAGGTTACAGGAGAAATTAAAGGCTGGAAACCCCAGGCTGGCCATTGTGAGGTAGCTGTGGTGGTGGACGGTACTCTCCGGGTGCTCTATGCCTTTGTCTCTACGATTTTCAAAACTCCCTTTCAGCCCTGCTTCCCATTAATAACAGCGCTGCTGGCTGCAGAGCCCGGCAGAGGCCCGAGACAATGGAGCTATTGGAGGCCAGCTTGCCGCACGCTGACATCTTGCTGCATTGTCTTATTGATTTTATTTTCTTGTTATGAAAACACCACCCCACCAAGGCAGGGAGGGAAGCAATACCAGACAGCAGCGGAGATGGGAGATTATTTGAACACACTTCCCGGGCCAGCCAAACACATTCCTGTCCTGGGCACCAGGCCCTGGCCACTCTGAATTGGTAACCTCTGTCCAGGATAGCCTGCTTGCTGCCAGCCCTGCTGGACACATCTGGCAAGCAGTCCTCAAAGCCAGCTGTTCACCATCTGGAGAACAGCGGCCTCTGGAGCTGACAGCCAGGGCTCCAGGTGAGAGAGAGGCTGGACCCGCAGACATACTTGATGGCTTCCGTCCCTTCAAGATGAGTGTTTTAGAGCAAGTATTGAGTTGCATCTGTTTATGTAACTTAGGGTCCTGCCAGGTGGAGGACAATGCCATGGCTCTCTGAAGGGGTCTCCCACCCCTACCCTGGACACATGACACTTTATTTGCTCCAGAATAGCTCACTATTCACTAGCCTTCCTCCCTAGCCAGACCCACCCCCCCCCCACAAACCACAACCACATGGGAGGAAAAGAATAAGCCACAGACAGAAAACAACAGTTGGGACAAGGACTGAGCCAATGGCCAACCCACAGTGGGAGAAAGGGCAAAAGTTCAGACCTGCTAGGACGGTCAGCTCCATGGCATGTGACAGCACAGAGACTACTCGCTACTGTGCGAGCATCTCAGCCCAGTTTCATACCTGCAGGGTTTGGCTTGGATCTGGTTAGGGTCTGAGTTCTTTTTGTTGCTAGAAAAGTGTGTGTAGGAACAGGATGGTATAGTAGCAAGAAATCTGCCCATGGTGGTTTCGATTGAGGGCAGCACTGGTCTTAGATGTAGTCCAGCTGATCTCAACCTGTGCTATGACCCCTGGCCCTTTCACAGGGGCCACGTATCAGATGCCCAGCATATCATATATTCACATTATAATTCATAACAGTGGCAAAATTACAGCTGTGACATAGCAATGGAAATAATTTTATGGTTTGGGGGTCAACACAACAAAAGGAACTGTGTTAAAGAGTCACGGAGTTAGGAAGATTGAGGACCACTGATGTAAGCAGTGGTACCTCCTGTCACTCGGACTTGCTGCTGCTGGTCCAGATGCTTGTCTTCTGCCCTGTGTGTCTACCCCCATGCCAAGGTCACATTAGTGGACATCCAGGCCAAAGTTAGGTGTCTGTTAGCAGTTTCCATGGTCAACCAGCCAGGTTCTCACCAAGCAGCCACTGAAGAGCTGGCTCTTGCTATTGGGGAAATGATTGGTCAGCATAAAATGTGTGGCCATATGAGCCAGTATCTCCTCTGGTGAAGTCATTGGTAAAGGTGATTCAATGAAGTAGATAAAACTATGCTTTGACAACTGTCTAAATTTTAATTCCAACCAACCTTTTCCTGAATGATGCTGAATGAACTGACCCCTCAGGGTCTCAGTTCTAGGACTGGGTGGTAGTCCCTGATTACCACGCTTACCATGAGGATGGCATGCATGGAATTCATGTAAAGTGCTCAAAACAGAACAGGCACTGGCTGGTGGTTCATCACTAGGCAATAAAGTCACCCTTTCACACCACTGTCCTACTGTGAGGACAGGTGTTCCCTTCTCCCATCACCAAGAAAAACAGGAGGGAATTATTCCTATGAAGCATGAAGGCGGGAGCCCTGAGCAAGTGGGGAAGGGGGTTGTTTCAGTGGTTGGGGTTCAAATGACCAGGAAGTAAGAGTGGAGCTAGGGGAGGAGAGAAGGGAGAGGTGATGGGAAGGGTGGCTTTTCAGATCCAGAGCTGAATCAGCATACCTGGCAAGCAGGTGACCAAAGGTGGGGCTCCAAATGTTCTCTATCAGCCCAGAAGGCTCTTTCCCCAAAGGAAGGTGTAGACCCCACCATCCCAGAAAGCTAGGAAAGAAAGGAACTGTGATAGGACAAAAAGCAAGACTGAGTCCCTGCTGCCCTGAGTGTGTTAAGACTGCTTGAATTCATTGACCTGGTTCTTGGTGGAGAGGCCCAGTGCTGCTACTCATGGGCCATGACCACCCCTAGGAACCCAGGTGTGCTGACTCTGAGACAAAAGGATGCTCTCAGACCTTTGGAGACATCCCTTTGTTGTCAGACAGGACAACAGGCTGAACATCCCCTGCTCAGGCACTCAGGGCATCCCCACCTCACTCCATGCCAGAGGTCCAGTGCTAGGGTCGGCCCTTGCTCTGCCAGGACTGAGGGTCTGCGCTCTTGTCTGGAAAGGTGTTCATGCTCCCAGAGACTGGGTAGGAAGAGGATGACAATTCTTTTTGTCATGGTTGCCTCCAGGCCTCATTTGATTTTTCTATGTCTTCAGTTGTCCATGGCCTAAAGAATTGCTGCATATTTTGTGAAAGAACAGTTAGGTAAGCACAGACTCCTGAGATACCAATTTACCAGGAGAGTCTAGAAGGTAATACCCTCCCACCCAATGCATAGCCATTGCTCTCCATATGAGTCTACAAAGCCCAAGGCAAGCTTTCTTGGGGACCACCAGCCCAGCCCTATTATTGCAGCTCAGAACAGTGAAGCTCAGAGAAAACATAACCAACACAGAACCAGCCTGGTCCAGTTCTCTCCACCCTAGGCTGCATAGCAGCATCCATTCACCATGGAAACCATGATTGCAAGAGGGTGACAGCAGCTTTTCCTATCACTGGCCCACCTAGTGACCATAAATTCTGAATTTCAGACCAGAAAATGGGCATGTTTGCTTCTCATGTCACAGAAGGGAAAGTGTAAGTCAAAGGGTACACCAACTCTCTCTGCACAGCTGGAAAGAGCTTCTGGATTAGACAGATTGGAATTGAATTCTGCCATTTGTAAGTGAGGCTTCAGTTTCTATGTCTATAAAATGGAAATGATAATAGTATGTTTGACATAAGGATTATGTAAATTAATATATGTAGAAAACCCTAAAATGACATGTGCCATTGAGTGAGTATTCAATCAGAGTTTATTTAATGGCTGGGAAGATGGTTCAGTTGATAAAATGCCTACTATGGTCCTGAGTGTGAGTCCCCAGCACTCATATAAAAAGCCAGGCACAGCAGCACATCCCTATAATCCCAATGCTAGGTGGGCAAGGACAGGTGGATCCCCCGGGCTTACTAGCCAGCCAGTCTAGCCAAATCGACATGCTCCAGGTTCAGTAAGATACTCTGTCTCAAAACCTCTGGTGAAGCATGCTTGAGGAAGATACTCAGACCTCTGATGCCAACCTCTGACCTCTGTGTGTATCTGCACACACATACATGTATACTCACACACTTACACACACACACACACACACACACACACACACACACGCCTAGCAACTGGGTCTATCTGCAAAGCACTTCCTCTGGGGGAAATCAGCCTGGTGGTTGCTGCTTGGGGGTTCAAGGAACTGCCCTGTCCCCCTCTGATGTGGCATGAGGTAAAACTGAGGAACTGAGCCAGCACCACATTCCCACTCCCGCTAGCTGTCTGGGCACTGGGGGAGGGCACTGCCGAGGAGAAAGCGTGGCTCCATGCCAGGCCTGTTTGTGAGAATGGAAGGGAGGCACCAATGCCCTGCAGTTGCTGCTGCATGAAATTTAAATTATTCTCAGCAAACCTGCTTGACAGAGAAAACAGAAAAGGGACAGCTTCATAAAATGCAGTTCTGTTACTGAAAGAATAGACTGGAGAACCCTCAGAGAGGCCTGCAAAATGAATGTGTGAGGCCTCTCTTCCTTTGTGGTCAGGAGCGTTCAGGCTAAGACATTCCCATCATCCCTTGGAGCTCAGCCTTTGAACATAAATCTGACTAAGAAGCATTACTGTAGCCTGTGTTGGGAGCCCGAGGAAAGCTTCAA